TTAAACAAGATATCTTTTTAAAATGTCTTTTTACTCTTGGTCATATTATTTTATTCCCCTTACCGCCTTGAATTTCAAATCGATTACATATCGAACTTCTGTACATGTGTTTTTCTCTACTGCCTTCCCGTGTGAAAATAATGAGGTCATACTCATGTCGCAATACTTTGAAGCTGATGCCATGTTGATGCCATGAGACTGCGAAGCTGAGGCCACGATGATGCCACAGAATAAGCGAGGCGAACACAGCTTCAATTTTCAATGACGCGAATCTGATGCCGCAATGCTGAGGCGACAATGAAGTCATGCGTAGGCGACAATGATGCCACTAAAGCCAAAGCTTTTGCGAGAACTGTACTGTATGTACCATTTTCATTCGTATTTGGCACATACATCATACATGTCACTTTATTTCATAATCAGATCAAAGATGTCCGAATAATGGCAGTTTTTATTTTTGGCCATATTACTGTCTCTGTCACCCATATATCATTTTCATTGATATTTAGTATGTCATAAATGGATACATGTACATGTCAATGCAATTTGATCAAATATGGCTTACTGGCGGCCATCTTGTTCGTTTAAAAGTGATAACTTGGACATGCTTTCACTTGTGATCTATGTTTTTCTTTGCTATGTCTATGTCCGGAGGGGTCGTCACGCAACTCAAGTTTCAAGGACACATTCGCGACAACCCCTCCACTTTAATATGACGAGCACAAAGAGAACTTTCAAAAAGTTTAACGGGGACTGTGTCATTTTCAATGACTTGTCTAATGATATCTTCAGTTGTTTAATTGAAATGTGCATTGTTAACAGCGGAGCCATCTCAGCCGACAGGCTGCATTTTTTTTTTTTGTATTTTGATGTCAAGTCAAGGCTTGTTACACACTGATGGTATTTATTTGTGGGAATTAACACCACAACTGGAATGAAAATTTGTGCAGGATTATATAAACACACTGAATATTTGTTGTAAATTACCATGGACATGGATTCAACAGTTCGTATTATTTTCTCAGCTAAAACATTGGGAAGAAAAGCTTTGGGAAGATTTTGTTGAATTAATTAAGGAGTTAATTGTAACTGCTCGTGGTAAACCTCGTGAACGAAGTGAAGAAGTTGACCTGACTACAGATATTGGTACAGATATTCCCACAGCAACAGATGTAACTTCTGGTACTAATGCCATTGTCGGCACTCCAGAGGTAATATTCATTGGAGATCCTAGTGTTGAAGGGGAAAACTTGCTTGTTTCCTTCATAGCAGATGATGGCACAGGTAATTACATGTTCTATATCAGCTAGTAGTTAAATGTAAATTTTTGTTTTGCGATCAGTTGATGATGGCCTACTGGTGGCCATTATGCTTTTGAAAATTGAATTCCAAATTGAATCCATTGGTCATTATGCCCCTGTAAATACAAATGACCACCAGCTGTCCATACTAGTTGTCCATATTGAATCCAGTGGTCATTATGCCCCTGTAAGTACAAATGACCACCAGCTGTCCATACTAGTTGTCCATATTGAATCCAGGGGTCATTATGCTCCTGTACATACAAATGACCACCAGTTCTCCATATTGAATCCAGGGGTCATTATGCTCCTGTACATACAAATGACCACCAGTTCTCCATATTGAATCCAGGGGTCATTATGCCCCTATACACACAAATGAACACCAGTTCTCCATATTGAATCCAGGGGTCATTATGCCCCTATACACACAAATGACCACCAGTTCTCCATATTGAATCCAGGGGTCATTATGCCCCTATACACACAAATGACCACCAGTTCTCCATATTGAATCCAGTGGTCATTATGCTCCTGTACATACAAATGACCACGAGTTGTTCACACCTGTTGTCCATATTAAATCCAGTGGTCAATATGCTCCTGTACATAAGTTTCGAATCCTTTCATTTTTCTGTTATTTCAGGTACATATATTGGCTCAAAGGAACTTGCTGATTGGATACGAGACAATGAAGATTATCTTGAGGCACAGGTGATTATAATGCATTATATATAGTGTTTTTTTTTCTTAGCTCCCATGTGTTCGAAGAGAGATCATGTGACAGATAGAGGGGAACATTACATCTTTTGGGGAAAAATAAAGTTTCAAAATTTGTTGCATCGTCATTGCTTTCATTGACACTTGAATGAAGAAACATAATATAAGAAATGGTCACAAAAAATGTGCACATACTATTACATTTCATAGCATTTAATTACAATATTAATTACTACATGTTCTAATTCAAAATGGCCAAATGGCGGCCATTTTTGTGCTAAAAAATCATCAAATAACCAGCATTTCTGGCATTTATGGATGGATTTTGTTCAAACGTGGTACATACATTAGAAATTATGGGTTCCTGATGCACTGCATTTTATTTTTCAGATCAAATTCAAAATGGCTGACTGGCGGCCATTTTGTTTAAATGAATACTCTTCTAGAGCCATATCTCTGACACGCTTGGACTGATTATGTTCAAATTCTATATATTCATTATACATTATGTTATAGATGTATTCAAAATGGCCGATTTTGTTTTAATTAATGTTGTTCCAGAGCAATATCTCTCAATATGGAAAGTACTTGTTTGATGATCAGGTACAAGGTGTCAATCATTTTTAATGTTGAAAAATCAGCATCATATGACATGTTTTTATTCCAACTATATTACTATAAACAAAACTATATATCTTAAATTTGATAACTATCAGGGATTGTGTCATGCATAGCTTGTTAATATTGTAATCAAATGTGCACATATTTTGTGACTATTTCTGTTTCTTTATTTCTTTATTATGAAGGTGCAACTAATTCTGCCCCCAAAAGATGTAATATTCTTCTCTATCTGTCACATAGTGAACTAAAATTGTCATTTGCACACGTTTTCGAAAGAGCTGCTCGAGGAAGTGCCCTCCCCTCAAATAGATTTTTGGAGCTGAGTACCCCAAGTTGAGTACAGTATATGCACACTACATCAATAAAATGCTGTCTGTGTGCAAATTCCTTCCGCATTTATTTGGGCCATAGAGTTGATTGACTGGGGAGCTAGGCAGATTTCCAGTAGATATATTTATTAAGACAGCTGATATGATATTATAACCAAGTATTAAATATTAATAACTCTCTTCTAAGTGATGCTGTGCTAAATAAATCAAACCGATAACACTAAATGATACAATACAGTGGAATCACAACTAACAAACACCACCCAAGCTCACATTCTAATAACTATTACAACTTTTATGGGTGCATAGATAAGACAGATATATAACAATTTAGAGAAACAGTTCACTGGAAAACAGAAATAACTAATGATAATAAAAATTAAAAATGGTCAGAAAGGAAGAATAAATTAAGAACCTACAGAAATATTAAATGGAACATTAAACTAAAATAATACCCCACCGAAATAAAAAACATTGAATTACATGAACAATCAAGTGCCAGATTTTGATAAGGCAATCATTGTTTGAAGATTTGTGAATAGCAAAGAAAATGACCATATGAAGATGCGTTTAAATTCATTCCTGGCTTTATGAATCAAGATGATAAAACTAAATTTATTTTGATAATGAATGAAAATGACATAATTACTGAAAAAGCTAAAATTATGAAATACAAGTTTTCTACAAGACATCAACATCAAATCATTATATAGAGAGAACAGATTACATTTTTTTTTTCACTTTACTTGTATTTCAATTTACTTGTATTTCCATTTTTGTTTGTGTTGTAACACTTATTTTGTTCTTGGTATGTAACTTTAGTGACCTTATTGCTGATCTCTCCAGAGACAGTGTTGTGACATCTATTCTGTTGTTAATAATACTCCTGACATGTGTTATACATTATTTCCATACCTATATAGTTTGATATAATATGCCTGGTAGTTACAGTCCAATCTCTTGTATATACTTTCCTCATCTAGATCCTTATTAAAACTTGCACGTACTTGATTAGACTTGTCAATTATAGCCAAGAATATATATCTATCTAACTATTAATGAAACTCGATGTATGTTTAAATATAGAGTTTAATATTCCTGCAGAGACGAAGCTATGACATATCACAACATACTGTGTCACTAACATTACCTCTCTACAGCTGATCTATGTACTAGGCCAGATTTCAAATCAACTCAAATCAAACTCGGATTGTTTCCCAATTTCTTCCTTGGAGGTTGATTCAATAGAATAATCTTGATCTTGTATTGGTTCACATAAGAACATGTGGACCTGGTTAAATTTCTGTCTGAAGTATAGTGTTTCTGCCTACAGTCGTTTTAATTACCCACTGACCGATTTGGAAAGAGTTGCCTGTTGAGTAAGGGTATCAGTTAAAGATAGACATTAGTCGCTGAATAAAATGTCAGATATGCCAGTGTAAATGAAATTAAGTGGTAGTATAATTAAGTAGCCACAGCACGTCTGTAACTTCCAACAGTAGAAATGCAAATTTACTGCCCCTCCACCTGTCATCCACTAAAAGATTTGTTATGGAAGTACATCAGCTGGTTATTCACATTTGACTAAATTTAGATGTCTTCTACAGTGATAACAAGAAGTCCACCATTTTTAAGGAATGACTGTTAAAACTTCTTTGTTGTCTTCATGTTATTCATAATGGTATCTCAACAAGTAAATTGTGGACATGGATTGAGTTACTGTGAAATGCTTTATTTTCGCTTTCAATTTATTTTCGCTGAAGGAATGATTCAGTGAAGATAAAATCTAGCGAATATACATTTTTCCTATATTTTACGTTCAACCGGTCAGAAATCAGTGAAAATAAATTCTATACAAAACACCCAAAAAGTCTTATCAGTGAAAATTACTGTAAAACTTTAGAATTTTGACCACTCTAAAAATTCATCCGAGCTTTCATGTCCCAAAAATCTTGGTAATTCGCACAAACCCTGTTAGATTACGGGTTCCTGTACTAGTTGAGTAGGAGCGAGGTCAGGTTTGCTCCCGTGTAATTTGCATGAATTAAAATAACATTTACGTCGCATGTATTTATCGTTATCTCTATAAAATTTATTATTTAATAAAAAAACATCAGAGTTTGTATTTGCTTTTAAAAAGGTCAATCCAAAATAAAACCGGACGCAACATTTTTGCCAGTCATTGAGATAACAATTTGCATATAAAACAAAGGACAGCCCCCATTTTGTGAATTGCTTGGATGCTTAACTTGTTTTTTTAATGAATATTTTTGTCATTTTTGGTAACAAGTGATATTTTTGAATTCTTGTTGAAAACAGCAAGTCCGATTGTTTGATAATATACATATTGTTCATTTTCTAATGATATCTTCAGTCCTTTAATTGAAATGTGTATTGTTAACAGCGGAACTATCTCAGCCGACAGGCTGCTTGTTTAAACACTCTGTGTGGAATAAGTAAGATTTAGTAAATAAATAGAAAACTAAGCTTGCAAGCTCTCAACTTTAACACCGGCAAAATCACAATTTCACCGCAGTGATTTTCCAAAAGACCGGTAATACCAGTCTCACACATTTGGGACGGAGTGGTACACATTCACTCGAACATCCCTAACCCGTCCAATGACAATCATTTAGAGAGTAGACTACACCTCACACACATTTGGTCCTACTACTAGATACGCATACGCGTGTAACTGTCCGCATACGCATACGCGTGTAACTGTCCGCATACGCATACGCGTGTAACTGTCCGCATACGCGTGGAACTGTTCGCATACGCATACGCGTGGAACTGTTCGCATACGCATACGCGTGGAACTGTTCGCATACGCATACGCGTGGAACTGTTCGCATACGCATACGCGTGGAACTGTTCGCATACGCATACGCGTGTTACTATACGCATACGCGTGGAACTGTCCGCATACGCATACGCGTGTAACTGTCCGCATACGCATACACGTGTAACTGTCTGCATAGCACGCACATGCAACGGTGAACACACACACGCACACACACGCAAGGGCGAACAGGGCAGCGGGATATGTATAATATTCGTTTATGCTCAAAATTGGCGAATTCGAGCAGCTATCAACACTTTTTATGATCGACGCCCAGGCATTCCGACAAGTCGCCCCCCACGCGTGCCCAGACAGTCCCAAGCGTGTCCGCACGTCTAGTAGTAGGACCCAACACAACGTACATGCTGTCACCGACATCCTTGCCGACATCTTGGATGGCACTGATGATGACTTAGAGCCTTGGTTCGAGGGGTTCACTGACATCCAGTAATGACTTCCGCAGTATATTTTGCTGCACAAATCAAACTGCCCGTTTCAGGGCCACCACATCCTCCAAAAAGAGATACCATTACAATCAAAGTTTATTGTTTTGAATAAAATATTTTCAATGATTTACATCATTATGAATTCCTACCAACAATAAAAGTTTTATTTATTTATTAACACAATAACTGCAGATACTGTAACGACAGTGGCACTCTATCAATAACTGTAAGACTACTGTAAAAAAGAACATTTACAAATTTTATTGATCGTCCAACATGTCTATAATTTAGTAAATTTTATTTATACCTGCTTGTTTTTATTTCACTCTTGTGCAAATTAGGTCATGTAGGTCGTGACCTAGCTGAACACTTACTGTGCGTTATTTCAGACAAATTTGTCCGTACTATCGTTGTTTATTCCACTTTTTAAAAAACCCCAAAAGTTTCCCATGTTATTCCAAAATGACCAATATTCCCTCCAAAATTGTGTTCACTTTATAATTTTTGGGTTGTTTCGTAACTCTAAAAAATTTGACTTTCAGAAAAAAACAAGAATATTTAAAACTCGTCGAAGTTTTAGAGTTTACATGGTAATTCCAGCTAAAACAATTTAAAGTATTTTACAGTAATCATTTCAATTTCATGTGGTGTAAAACATTAATGATTTTATATAGTAGACATTTATTTTTCCTGAAATTTAAAATTCTTGCATGTACACGAGTATACAGGGGATCTTTCCTTAGTGCAGTCCCTGTAATATAAGATTTAAATAAGAGTTGTTATCCTTATTTGTTCAAAAACAAACTAAAATTACATCAAGAGTTTAATAAGTCTGATATTGTAGGGTCAGGAATTTGAGATCCTATTTATCCACACAGTATCAGTTTCACAATGTTTATATGCTAAATCTATCTTCAGAGTCGTTCTTTATGTGAATATTTCTAACTCTGTCAGGGTTGGGGTGCATGCATTAGTGATGATTTCTGAGTGAATTTCCTTTTTGTTAATTTTTCATAATTCTGTGTTTTTTTCGTCAGCTTGGAGTCAGAATATCATCAATCAGGGAAGGTTTACCTCCTGAGAAAAGAGTCGATCCTGTAAAAGCAACTGGTGATGATGAATCTTACTTTAGCAAAAATGCAGCCCTATTTATAGCACTAATAGTGATAGCTTGCATATGCCTTATTATTATTATTGTTGGTTTGGTATATATTTTATGTGCTAGACAACGCCATGAAGGCCAGCATTATCTTCATGCGCGAGACACAGAAGCTGGTGGAATTGATAATCCAGCCATGACAGAAAAGGTGAACGGAGCTCAGCCTATGCTACACAGTGCTGTAGATGATACTGAAATTGTACCTTATGATAATTTTACACCAGAGGAGCTAAACTTTGATGATGTGGAAGATACGCACTTGTAATGTACAAGTTACTTCAGGCGGGTGAGGGCACATCTCATAGGATGTTCATGCACTATTTTTCGCCACAGCTATATACTAATAAATTATGGGGAAATCAAAATTTTTGAATTTTGTTTCATCACTTTTCCAATTTTGAAATCTCCTCACTCATCTGGCGTAACATTTTTTGTTGATGTGGGTATAAGGTAAAGATATCTGTCAAATGAAATACTGGTAATACAGCTGTATTGTACTAATACATAAAACATTATTGTGTCGTATAATTTAAAAGCATCAAATGTTGCATTCTCTTAGGACATAGGTGTGTCCTTTCACAGTAGCATGCTGTATATGTGTAATTGCAATCAGAGCACACATTCTGATAAAACTAGCCTATCACAAAACTTGTAATAAAATTAACTGTAATTTATAAATAATAAGGAAATGTTGTATTCTGACCCTAACATTATGACCATTATTTGATTTTACAGATTAAGTTAACATTTTGGAGAAAAAACTAATCACAATAATCCTTGATCGTAACATTGGAGGCTTCAACTACAGTAGTATATGACTTGTGCAGACATTTGTTGTGAAGACTACAAGTAATAGGATTTGATTTTGTCTAAATATATTACATTATGATTTAAATTAATAGATTGACATTATCCTTCACTTATGGGCATAAGGGTAATAATAATTGTTTTTGTTTTTTTGTCAACTTGCAAAGTTTCAGGTTTGTTGACAACACTTGGAGACTAGATGTTTTTATTGTTCTGAAAGTTGATGCCAAGCAATAGTTAGCTTATTAATTCACTTTCTCTGCATTATAAACAAGTTTATAGTTTGCATCATAGTGATACTTAGAATTAAAGTTTAAATCAGACTTCAAAAAAAACATTTATTGTAAATACAGGTTTATGCTATGGTAGCATAAAAAGAACCTTCTAGAAAAATAAAATCGTTTGTATTTGTTTGTATTTTCAGTAAAGTTTTGTAGCAATTGCAATATTCAATGAATACAACTTGCATTAACATAAATTTACTTGGTTTTGAGCTTTAATGAATGGTAATTTTTCCCAAACAAAAACCAAAATATTAAATAGTGTCAGTGTGTAAGTGGAGTCAACTATTTGGAATTGTCTTTATGATGTAGCTAAATTTATGATGATTTTTAACAACCAAAAGTGCCTGTAATTTATTACCACATTTATTTAAAACATTCAATATGTTTTTAATAAACTCAGGACTGTTTATACGACGTAACATCGATCTATCTTCACTGCATTTATAAACTTTTCACTTGTGAACCCAGTGTTAAAGGTCAACCCAGGTCAAATGAATGTTCGGTGTTGCATATTGGTTTGGTCTATAAATCAGTTTCTGGGTAAATACTACAAGTGCTTTCGTGTGTATTCTTCAAGAATTTACCAGGCACTGTGAAATTAAATTGTTAGACATAAAACTATGCAGATGAGAAGTCAACACAACTGAAGTCTAGAATTGGTTGTTATATTATATTAAATATATTTTTTAACATTTACATATTCATTATAGTTAGGTTAGCCTCAGGCTCTTGCCAGATTTGTTCTATTGTATCTGAAAACCACTAGACTCAAAAACTGGAGTGTTTTCCTGTCACTGATTCAGTATGGTGGTATCTCTTGTAATATGAAGTGTAGTAAATCTGAATGCATAAAATGATCCAGTATATGAAATGTGACACATTTTGTTTTGAGCAGTTCATTTAATCTGAATCCTTCTTTGAATTCAGAACTAAGTATTTTGCATGTATTTTTTCTGTGGATTCTCACATTACAACTGACAGACAGGTATTGCATCTTGATTTTTAATTTCTTTGGGGAAAAAAATTCAGAGTACAAGTCTAACTTGTTTGTTTGCACTAATCATTCCTTTGCATTCACTTTATTTGTTTTTATTTTTGACTTTTAATAAGATATGTTGTGAAAAGAAAAAAAAAATTAAAATGAGGCATTTGTATATTCAATGAAGATTTTCTACATGCAGAATATTAAACTGGGACTGGAGTATCCTATTTCCCATATTTGTTTGATATTATTAGTTTTGAATGTGTTATTTTTATCTTAGTAATGAGTTTAGACAATCCTCCAATTACTTCTATGTTAGTTATGTTGAATATTTCTTGAAATAGTTGCCTCTCAGTATTGTATAACCTTTGGCCTATGAGGGGGTGCTGTTTATATTTCAACTGTAAACACTTTACCAGTTTAGGATGAAAATTGGATCTTATGACTTCATAATTCTGTGAAAGGAGTTTAACACATTGATAGCCATTTGCCAAATGCCCCAAAGGGTATTTGATGTTGTCAATGTGGCTACCATTGTGTAAGATTCCCATTGAAACTTTTTAGATTTTATTTTATTTGCAAGATTTAAATATACAAAATTCATTTTTTTCACCAGTGTAGGTTTTAGAAAATGAGATAAATCACAATTGTCAGTTCACATACATTTTTGTACTGTATCACACTGGAATAAAAGGATCATTGTATTTGTTAAAGTGGGTGTTATTTTGTCATTTTAAAGGTGGCTTAACAAATAATTTTCCTTACTTTGGCTGTACATGTAACTGTTAAAATTCATCATTTTGTTTACAAAAACATTTTGTTGTTGGCAATTCTATAACTGTAATTGATAATGTTCATATGTGACAACTGGTTTCTTTTCATCTGTTCAGCATTACATTTACCATGTAAGGTTAAGCACTATTATAGTATCTCTGCATGTAATTTGAAGGAAAATGATAATTTAAAACTAGGCTTTTTTAATATTTCGTCAACATTGATTAAATTATTTTTTACACTAGCGAAATGCGAAAAAAATTTACAGTTGTGGTATTTTTTCTTTCTTAACCACATCCTGTTGTATTAAACTTTTATTGGGGTTAAAGTTACAATAAAAATATCTGTGGTGCGCTATGTAGAACATTTTCATTTTGTTGTGTGTGAGAGAAGCAAGTGTAAATATTTCATACACTCTTGATCTGTAATGTGCGGCATATTTCTTGTGTATAGCACTTCATAGTTGGTCTGTTAGCTTGTTATATCATCATAAATGGGTAAGGGTATTAAAGCTTGGCTATACTACAGCTTTTTCAGCAACAGTGTCCGCATTTCAGTCCAGATAGTTCCCATCATGTTGATACATTGTAATCTAACCATGGTAGGTCCATGATTTAACCATGTGGTTTACATCTACAACAAAAGTGTTACCACTGTAGCACCAATAGATTTTTGAGATAACTGAACTTATGTAAACATACTGTTGATTAACCTATGATTAAAACTCGCAATGAATATTTGTAAAAGCCATTAATTTCAAAACTTAAAGAGTTTCAGTAGTTGATGGTATTTGCAAGTTTATGTTGTAAGTAATCCTTTCACAGCTAAGTCACTTGAGTATGCATTGACGTTTACATGTTTGGTGTATTCAACAGACTTTATCTAAGTCAAGGCTGCAATGTGGACACTGATGTTGAAAGAGCTGTAAACAAGTTTCACTAGTAATGATTCTGAACTAATGAACATAATTTGCATTCTTTGGAAAGAGTTCTTTTTGCGCCCTCACAATTTAATTGTACAATGTATATGTCCTTCCTAGGCACACACTTAGTTACTAAGTATATATAATTGTATCCAGAGGGGAATTGTACAATTGAGTTAGAGGGTGGGGTGCAAAAGAATCTCTTTCCCTTTGGATTGTATTCAGTTAGCTGCACAGCCAAATCAATATACAACTTATGTTGCAAGATATCGCATATTACCAGCTAAGAAATTTTTGCATATTGTGAAACGTAATTGCTCCTTATTTAACTAGTATAAACAAGTTGTGGGAAAGGTTCGGGTTGAGTGGCCTCTTGACCACTACCTTCCAACCAAAATGCATGAGGGCGTTAAGGTTTTGTCAATAGTTACCATACTTTTCTAGCTTATTTCTGGTATAAGGAAGTATTTGTACCAACTGGTTAAGAAGTGACTAGACACAGGAGTGGTTAGTATTGTCCGGTTCCATGGGTGCAGATATCACAGGATTAGACTACTAATTCCATGATGAAGTCACTTTGAAGTTAAAGTTCTTCTCCTTCAATTTGTCGGCGCCAACAATTAAAAAAATGTAATGAAAAACATACTGACATTACTATCTCGTACTACTAGTTGCCTGACTTGTCGTTGAATGTATACTTTGGGAGAAGACTAAACTCTAAGGTAGGATTTAATCTTTTCAACACCAGTTCCCTCTTTTCAGCACAAATTCACAAAATAGTTCCATTTATAGTGTGCACTTTCCTTCCGAAGATTGGGACAAAAATAGCCAAATTTTGTTAGTACAAACTGAAAATTAGAACAAATTTTGTCTAGTGACTTTAAAATTAAGGTTCATTTCCAGAAACATTTGAGAAAGACTGACAAATTTGGGCAAAAATGTCTGGTGTTGAAAAGGTTAACAATATTACTCCGCAATTCACAACTCTTGTCAGATGTGTTCTAAATGGACAGTAAAACCAATAAAACTTAAGGTACATCAAGAGATCACTGCTCTAACAGAGAAAGCTTATTCACGACATGTGTTAAGGAGAGTAGCTTTTCTTGTCCAAAATCTAAAGAACAGTATTACATGCAGACTTGTCATGTGTGACTTGTGCGTGTCCTCAGAACGTACAAACAGACATCAGTGTTGTGGCAGTGTGTGCCCACTCAATCATCAGATTTACTTTTGAGGTACCAATACATACCTCTCAGTAGGCAAACAGGCTATTGGCATGTGGAGTCAACTTTCTTAAGTTTTATTTAAAGGACTTTTAAATTAACTTTACCACACCACACCAAAATCTACTCAAAATACAGAACAAATATTGGGAAAACTTAAGAATTATGATGGTTGAAATAATGTCAATCCGATGTGCATTTATAAATGTACAGCAGCTGTCCAAGTCTTCAAGGCATATACTGTTGCTATAGATGTGTACATGGTTGCTAGGGACACGCCCACAAAGTAATCTGAAAAAATTAATGCATGTATATGCTATACAGCGGCCACAGGTTTGAGATTGCCTGAGAACAATGTACTGATATGGTGTAGATATTCCACAGACATGCTGTTCTATGCAGTTGATAAGGACATGCCCACTAGAAAGCTGTTGTCATAACTTTACTGAATATGTCAAACAGCTAAGACAACATCAAAGGAGTTCATACATGTATAAAGGATGTTTTTTGTTATTTTCCCTGCAGATTTTGTATTTCAAAAGATAGACCCTCAGAATCTAGCATTGCAGGTGTTGATTGGATTTGAAGGTAGTGTGTGTATGAATAAACAGGTGATGAGAGGATTGGAGGTAGTATGGATTGACAGGTATTGAGAG